TTTTTTTTTTTTTTTTTTTTTTTTTTTTTTGCGTTACAAACTCTCCCCTCCTTAGGAACTTTCGTCCTCGAAAGTGGATATCTCTTGGAAGAGTTCGGGATAAGCTCTCCTCACGTCCTCTTCTCGTTCCCAGGTTGCCTCTTCCTCACGGTGGTTACCCCATGAGACCTTTACCAAGGGAATATCTTTGTTGCACAATCGCCTAGTGTCTCGAGCCAAAGTTCTGATAGGCTTCTCCTCGTAAGACAGATCTTCCCGAAGAGGAAGCATCTCATGCTCGATTACATGAGTAGGGTCTGGAGTGTACTTTCGCAGCATGGATACGTGGAACACATTGTGCACGGCGGCAAGGTTTGGTGACAGGGCAATTCTGTAAGCCACAGCCCCAACTCTTTCTAGAATCTCGAAGGGGCCTATGAACCTTGGGCTTAATTTTTCCTTCTTTCCGAACCTCAACACCCCCCTCATAGGGGCTACCTTCAGGAACACATGGTTACCCACCCCAAATTTGAGGTCCCTTCTACGCAAATCTGCATAGCTTTTCTGTCGGCTCTATGCGATGAGTATCCTCTACTTGATTTTCTGCACCGCTGCGTTGGTGAACTGAACCAACTTTGGTCCCAGTAGTTGCTGCGTGCCTACCTCTTCCTAAAACACTGGTGTTCGACACCTACGCCCATACAGTGCCTCAAAGGGAGCCATCTGGATGGTCGCTTGATAATTATTATTATAGGCAAACTCCATCAAAGACAGATGTTCGTCCCAGCACCTAGAGAAATATAAGGAATAGGCTCACAACATATCCTCTAAGATCTGGTTCAGCCTTTCGGTCTGTCCGTCCGTTTGAGGATGGAATGTTGTACTGAACCTCAACTAAGTTCCTAGTGCTTTCTAGAGACTTTTCCAAAACTGAGAGGTGAACCTGTGTCCCGATCTGATACTATAGACACTGGTACCCCGTGCAAGCATACTATCTCTTTGATATATAACTGAGTCCACCGATCCACTCGATATGTGGACTTTCCTAAAATGAAGTGGGCCGTCTTGGTCAGTCTGTCTACAACTACCTAGATGACGTTGAAACTCTACTTTGTCTTTGGCAAACCCGAGATGAAATCCATACAAACTGCTTCCCATTTCCACTGAGGAACGTTTAGGGGTTGTAGCAGTCTTGCTGGGCGCTGCCTTGGGGCCTTCACCTGCTGACAGGTCAAGCAACGACTTACAAAATTCGCTATGCCTCTCTTCATTTCGGACCACCAATAGTATCTTTTCAGATCCTGATACATCTTCGTACTTCCAGGGTGGAACGTATAAGATGTATCATGGCCTTCGATCATAATGTCTTTTAAGATTCTCTCATCTCGGGGAACGCACAGGCTGTTTTACACAGCAGGTCCCTGTCTGAAGAGATAGAATACCTTGTTGATCTCTCTGTCTCAGTCTGACTCCACACTTTACTGAGGTGTTCATCAGACCTTTGAGCGTCGATAATTTTCTTTCGTAGGGTAGGCTATATAGTACCCGTGGCTAGCAAACAAGTAAGGTTAACAAGAGATATAATATGTTGTGTGGAAACGTGGACACAAGACAACATTTACTTGCAGAGGAAGCGTACGAGAAATTAAGGAAATGTAAGCCACCACACTAGATCTCATGGAGTGTTCTCTAGGATCGCGTCCAAAGACCTGAGAGGATGGCGTACTAGAATGAGCCAGTAACGAAATATCACTACCAGAGAAGGCTTAATAAGACCATCCATGAGATAATATGGAAGCTATTCTAGGTGAATACTAGGAAACTCATGAAAGGATTATCTAATACTCAAATAGTCCCTACATAACTCATATGAATATCACTGCTCAAGTGAGCAAAGTGACAAAGGTATCATGATATGATTGAGGGCCTAAGTTAGCCACATGTGAAGGAACTACAATGATGAGACATTAAGGACTAGGTCATGATACCTTTAGACGATTAAAGAGAAGGACATGAAGATTAAAGAGAGGACATATGAAGACGGTTTTTAATAGATGTTATGAGTATTTAGAGATTTCTGTTATGTCTTTTGACTTGACCAACGACTTCCAAAGTTTAAGAAATAGATTGTAACGCTCCCACCTAATTAGTGACATCATTTATGTATACATAACTCATTAAGCAGAAGCTCATCATAAATAACCTTGGAAAAACACAACAAGGTCTTTCATAAAGATTCATAAATCCAAAAACAAACCTATCTCCAAAAAATAAAACCTCCAGTAACTTAATTTAAATAAAACAATATTCAATGCTTTAACTTAAAACTGTCAAATAAACGTAAACTCCTAAAAATATCCCCTCTCCAACTTCCATGGTATCCTCAGCTCTGCCGTCAACCGTATATTGGCACCTTGCCTTTACCTGAAAAAATGTAGGTAGCACGTGGCTTGAGTATTTTATGAAATACTCAATAAGTCACCTACTATTGGGATTAGAAATGCAAACACATGCAACATATGAGTGGGACCTAACTTTTCATAAACTTTACATGGCCTTGGGCGCTTTTTTATTTCGGGTAGGGTTGGATGTGTGGTACTCCTTCACACACGGCCCATGTACGCGTACATGGACCCACCAGGCGGGCTCGTATACATACCCTCTGGGCCTGACTTGGTCGGGCACAACGTGTTACACATCGCCGGACACCACAAAACAGAAAACGGCCCGCATGATATCATGGCGAACATAAATATCTTATTTCATTCTTTCGTAACATAAAAGAGAAGAATCCTGATGCTAGTGGCATACATATATGCATGAGGTCCCTTTAACATACCTAACATGGCATTAAATAAGCATTGCCAACATCACATATGCATTTCTTACATTACATGGCATATCACATCACCTACATTAAATGGCATATTACATAACATGAAAATACATTCCAGTTTCATAAGCATTTCATGACATGACTCGATACTACGTGTATACATGGCATCGATCAACATTTTCATGGCATATATTACTAACATATCATTCATAACTTCACATAACATAAACAATCAACCCTCAACACAATCTATACATCACATAGTCATATCACATAAATATGGTGCATGTAGGGGCCACAGGACACATACCATCATACAACACGTAGTAAGCTAACTCCAACAGTAAGGTCACTTACCTCGATGGCCTTGGCCGAAGTCACTCACAACAAGCTAATCCCAACGATTAAATACGTCCTATAATAACCACATAAAAACTTAGGAATCTTTCCTAACATACCCTAGCAAACTCCCAACCCAATGTGTCTTTGACGGTTAGCAACCATACTGACCTCATATGGTAAAACTAAGGGCAGAAATGGCTTTGGAAGGGCCAAAAATTGTGGAATTGATATATTGTAGTGATACCGAGCCGCCAAGTCGAGCTGTCGAGCCGACCAACTAAGCTGTCAAGCCGAGAGCACGCGTGCGGAGCCGAGACCGAGGCTACAGCGTGCGTCCGTGTTTGGCCGAAACGCACAGGGCCCTCGTTCGTCCGTGGGCCGATTCAGAGGCTGAAACCCGACTCGACTCTACATCTTCTTTGCCCGAACTCTCACGAAAACCCTAATCTGATGTGCCGCCGCTGCCGAAGACATAATCTCCTCCGTTTCCAACGATGGTCATGTGGCATCCTCCTCCTTCGCTTCCGACGGTTTGCCTTCTTCGACGCAGCGACTCCGACGTTGACGCCAACTTCCACTCGACTCTTCCTCTAAAACAGCAACACAATCGATTTCGAGAACTCGCCGAACAAGAAAACTACCCAGCGAACCAACCCACACGTTTTCCCGGCTAACACTCTCGATTTTTCCGTACTCTCAGACACCCTCGAAAACACAAACATGTTTGGAGAAAAAAAGTCGTTTTCAAGGAGACGAGTTGAATATAGGAATATAAAAGGTTTCATAACTTTTCCATTAAGGTAGTAAATTCCTTGTCAGAAATCGTGCACCTTTTTCAGCAAGAATAAATGCATAGCATAATATCTTTTCATTTTGGCAGCAAAAATAAAATCTCAACATAAAATCTAAAAGAAATAAAAATCCGAACCGTTACATAGACAAGTGAGTTTTCATAGGACTCTTTTGATATATGATCATTGTTGTTTCTGACAGTAGACTAACATACATCAAGTTGGAGGTGGATCACAAAGAACACTTGAGGACAGTTCTTGCGGTGTTAAGAGTGCACCAGTCATAAGTCAAGTTCTCGAAGTACAAGTTTTGGCTGCAAGAAGTGGCCTTCTTAGGTCATGTGGCATCGTGGGAGGAGATCAAAGTGGATCCAACTGAGATTGAGGTTATTATGAGATGACCTAGGTCGACTTCAGTCACAAAGTTAGGAGTTTTATGGGGCTTGCTGCCTATTACATGAGGTTGTACAAGATTCTTCTGGGATCCTAGCAGCATTGACCCAGTTGACAAGGAAAATTGAGCCCTTTGTATGGATGAAGAGATCTTGATCTTGACTACAACCCAGAATACATTTTTTACGTTCCATCCTAAAAAGTACAAATATTTATTAGGACTTGAAAGCCAATTACTAGTGGCCAAAAATGAAGAAAGACATCATGGTATTCATGGCCGGTTGCTTGTTTTGTCAGCTGGTAAGGCCCTAAGACAACGACCTACAAGGTTGTTACAGCTGCTAAACGTACCTTAGTAGAAATGGGAAGATGTTAGCATGAATTTTTATCTCAAATGTTTCAATACACTTGGGTTGTCATGGAAAGATTGACCAAGACCACTCAGTTTATTCCTGGCAAGACCATATAAGGAGTAGACTAGTGGGTTCAATTATACTTCAGAGAGATAGTTCGTTTGTACGAAGTGCCTGTTTTCCATCGTGGCATATCAGGATGCCAGGTTCACCTCATATTTTGGAAGGGTTTACAGAAGGCGTTGGAAATAAAACTCATATTTAGTACGATTTTTCATCCTTAGATAAATAAGGAAGCAGAGAGGTTGAACCAAATCTTGAAGGATATTGAAGGCTGGTGTTATGTAATTCATAGATTGCCGAGACGAGCATCGACCCCTTATGAAATTTGTTTACAATAATAGTTATCAAGCGACCATCCAAATGGTATAATTTGAGGCTCTATGTGGACGTAGATGTCAAACTATGATATTCTGAGAAGAGAAAGACAAACAACCGCTTATGGGACTGAGTTAGTGCAGGTCATGAAAGCAACAATGTTGAAGATGAGGTGAAAAATACTAACGGCACAAAGCCGACAAAATAGCTATGCAGGCTCTCATAGGAAAGACCTCGAGTTTACCGTGAGTGATCATATCTTCCTAAAGGTAACACTTAAAAGATGGGTGTCGAGGTTTGGTTAGAAAGGTTAGTTGAGATCGAGAGTCATAGGCCTTTTTAGATCCTAGACAGGATAGAGCATGTGGTGTACAAACTAGTGTTGCCACCCATCCTTGCCACCATGCATAACGTCTTCCACGTCTTAATGTGCAGGAGTACGTCTCAGGTCCTACGCACGTTGTAGAATATAAGGCACCTCTCTTTGATAAGACTTGTCTTATGAAGAGAAGCTTACTAGGATATTGGCTCACAATGTAAAATATTTGCACAATAAAACGATTCACTTAGTTAAGGTTTTATCGGGAAGCCATCGAGATGACGAAGATTCAATCTCTGAAATGTTGAGTGGAAGCAATTTGAGAATGTAGGACATAAGGAAGTCCTACCCAAGACGTTTCTAGGAATAAACAACTTTCAAGGAAGAAATTTCATAAGGGGAGGAGAATTTGTCACACATGAGCCATCATGAGAATTAAATATCGATTTTTTCTTAAAATCTTAAACTTCTATGATTTTATTGAAGGATTTAGAGGAAAACTTTCAAGATGATGTAGAAGAAAAAACGCCTAGAAAAATCCTAGGAACTAGTGAAAATATTAAAAAAAATAGTAAAAAATTAAGAAAATCGACTAAAGTTAACCTTGAGGGGCAAAATGGTCATTTTGACACCCTTTTTCTAATGAGTGGTCGATGTCACTAAACCTACGAGTATGGGGAGAAGAAAGAAAAAGACAAAAATAAAATGAAAAGAAAAAAAAGATTCCAGCTGAAGTTCCTCCGCAAAATATCGAGGATATCAAGTCTCGACATTTAAATTACTCAAATCTATTAAGAATCAGAAAATAACTTTCGATAAGATTTTCAAGTTTTTATCTTAGTTTTTCCTCACATCTATGAAATATAGGAAGAATTGATATTTTACTATGCTGTTCTTGATGGGACTTCACACAACTCTCATGAAGAAACTCGGACGAGAATTAGAATCGAAGTCATAGTTTCGACGACGATCAAGAACGGTAAGTTATGTATTTTGGACCAATTTTGAATGAATTGATTTCTCTCTACATTTAAAATGGAGAGAAAATAATTTTTTTGGGTAGATAGATTAAAACCCTACCATTTTTGTGAAAGAAACAAGTTGGTTTAAGTTATATAAAAAAAGATACAAAAATCTAAAAAAATCGATAAACTTATCGAAATCTAGAAATTTCATTCGCAGGTGATTAAGGAATGGACGTGTGTCATGCAAAAGGAGGAAACGCTCATTGGCACTTTATGAGGACACACACCGTAGTTGTAGAGGACTTGAAATCGTGACACACTTCGTCTCGATCCGAACCGAAGCGTGACTCGATTCTGCACTTGCAATGTGAGCGGATTGCCTGACCTGACCCAACTTAGATGCACCTATCATTGAGCACCATGTGTCGCTTGATGTGCATGTGTACTCTCTTGGCATGTGTGGTGTACTAGCGCATGGTCCACGCGTATTCTTCCTTCCCACTACGCATATGATTGCATAAGGTGGTCATTTCTTGTCCATTTGACCTTTATTTGTATATTTTTAGCTCCCGTTTCAAAAATAACTATATTATGAATTAAATTTGGACCTATTAGAGAAATCTCAGAAAAGTTGGACAGCAAACAAGCTAGCTAAGGAAGGCAGGGGTCATCCAAGTAAGTATTCATTCAACCTTTTCTTAAATAATACTTGTAGAGACCGCTAAGATGTGTTAGCATGCGAGTATATCTTAGGGGTCTTCTTGTTATAAGTGCCAAATGAATCCCATTTTCCAGGTCTTCCTCATCCTTCTGGACTTCTTCAACTAGATCATTGATCTTCCCTCCATTTTCCTCATCTTGGTTCATGATTATACAAACAGTAGTGAAATATGTTTAGGACCTCAGACACTCAACTCACTGATTTTACACTCCCACTCGTGTTTATACACACAAAGGTAGGCTGTTTGGGAAAGTGACTAAATTATGATCAAGGTAGGCTCATATATGGGTAAAGCAATTCTAATAGTAGCAAACTATTCAAGGGAATCAAGATAAGTTAATTATGAAATAACAATAAAATAAAACAAGAAGTGAATAAACAAATAAGAGACACAAATATTTTGGGATAGAATTGCACACTGAAAAATAAAATAAAAAATTTAAAAAAGAAAGGACGTGAAGATTTTAAAAACGATCTAAGTCTTCTTTTATAGAATTCGGGAAATTTAGAAGTTATCTTCAAGCCTAGATTATGAGAGAAAAAAAAATATCAAACACAACGGTTCTAGATTTAGATGGATTAAGAAAAAGATGTGAATCGAAGTTTATTTGATCTTCAAATAAACATGCAAATGATCTAAAAAAATGATAAAGATTGTTTATAATCACAATCGTAAGAACAATATGATAAGATTTTTTTATTTATCTTTTTTTTTTGTTTTTGTTTTTTTTCAAGATCTCAACGTGATCTTTAGGAAGAAAATGAGAACAAACTGAAAAGTTGATGAATAATGGTAGAAACGACAGCCAGAAAATAAATGAACAGATTTAAAGAAAAGATAAACAACAGCAGAAATGAAAGATAAAATTAATTCTAGAGTCGGCCACAAAGATGTAAACCTAGGCTCTGATATCAAATTGATAAGACAACCCTAATCTTCAGCCCAACGATCCAAGCTTTTGTTTTAGCAAGAACCCTTGAGTAATCAACACCTCCTTATTCGAAATTTGGATCAACCAAGAGATAAGTCTAGAATTAGATTACCTCTTACGAAGATGTAGAAGCAAGGAACTTTGTTCTAAATTGAGTCACTCCACAATCTAACTTGATCAAGGCTTGATTGAATGGCTCGGGTGCAATTCTATCGAATTGCTCGAAACTTAGAAATGGCAAATATGATGCTCGAATTTTTAAGAGAAACATCTCAATTTGAGAACTGAATTACATTCATCCACGAATCTGAATTTTACATAACATATCGTGGGTATTTATAGTCTCCCGACAAAAGACGTTTGTGGACGGGATTTATTCCCGATCCCCTTTAATCTCTACAAAGAATAAGTCAAATTGACCATTTGACTTTTACATAATTTATGAAATTAAACATAATTTTTTTTTTAATAAATGTTGATGTGCTTGAGTGGCTAATGCGATAGGTTTGAAATTAATTGAGCTCTCCGCGGGTAGGTTTGAATTTTGTTGTTAACACAATTCTTATCACAAGTAAGTATTCATTCAACCTTTTCTTAAATAATACTTGTAGAGACCGCTAAGATGTGTTAGCATGCGAGCATATCTTGCCTTACATAATACTTGTAGAGACCGCTAAGATGTGTTAGCATGCGAGCATATCTTGCCTTACGTGGTTAGAATATCCATGTTTAGGTATTTAGAGGGGCAATTTGGACCATAATACAATTTATGTTGAAAAAAATTAACGAAATGCCCCCAAAAGATATTATCAGATGCATGCTAATTTTTATACTTTGTGACGAGCGGGAAGGGAATATGTATGATAGAACTCAAGTAGGGAAATTCGGTTGAGCTAACTATGTATGATGTAATAATTACCAAAATGCCTCTAGATCAAAATTTTGAGACGTATGTTGTGATATGTGCTCTATGCGATTGATGGATGTTATCTCCCTGTTGAACTTGTATGAACGCATGATAAAGTATGTTGAGCTTTAGGTGATTGATTGTATATTCTCCTTATAGAGTGTATTTATATACATAAAGCTAAGACTATGGCGTTAGAGTTAGGACAACCAAATGATGACCTAGGTCAGGACGCCTCCAATAGAAAGAGCAACTTAAGATCGTGAGCGGCGGTTAGAGTGTTTAAACCTTAGTACTTCTAGACTAAGAAAGACTCTATGAGTCAAACAAATTTTATGAAAGTCGAAAGTCCGCGTAAAGCCACCTAATTGCCTTAGAAACTCAGTAGACCTCCTCACCTCCCAAAGATGACTAGAGAGCTATAGTTGGAGTGACTTACACGTTGACTTAGGTCAATACGTTTCCAGTAGATCTTGCACCCAAGGATTGTGAATAGTGACCCAAGGATTGTGAATAGTGATCAAGGTTGTTGCCCCTAGAGATCGGACTAGCCTCGAAGAACTAAGTTTAAACCGCCTAAATGTAGTTGAGAACCTAGTAGACCTCCATGACATCATAGTACGACTAAGATAACTCACCAAGCAGTTAACAGTAGGATGGTGTTACTAGAATCTCTGACTCCTATCTCCTTCCGTATGCCTTTAGTGCTAGCGGCATCCTACCAAGCGGTAGTAGTATAGGTACTGTCGTGCTTGGCGTAATCCAATTAGTATAGCGCGTCAAGTCGACCAAATGCTCTACTTTGTGTACTAGAACCGGTTGTAAGAGAGAAGACATAGAACCACACAGGTAATTATGAGGCATTGGGTGACTATATAATCTTAGGGGAGAGTTCATAAACTAACCTCTTATGTCCAGGCTAACAATCATCGATTGAAAACTTGTACAGACCCCAAGGTTAAATTTGGATACTTTTCAACTTAATAATTTAGCCTATTGAGAGGCTGTGATTATAATTACACGAAGAAGTTAAAGCTTCAAATTTCTTAAAACACCATAAAACTCCAATTCACTGTTTGGAAGGAAAACAAAACATATTTATTACATACACACAAACCAACTCCATGTTTGGTCCTACTTGTTGTTCTCGTTCAGCCTAGCGGCGGCCGCCACGGAGGCGGCAACACCCGTAGGATGTGTCGTGAGAAGCGGGTCATTTCGCATCTCAGCTCCGGCCACCTTCTCCGCATCTTGCCGCGTCGCTGGTTTATCTGCCGGCAACTTCAATCGAGCATCCTAATACCAAAGAAACACAAAAGATTGTTGAGAGATAGTCCTACCTTAACTAATTTAGAAGATGAGAGCTTACCTCAAGGTGGACCATATCATACCAGGTCTGTAATTACTAAGATCAACCGCGAATTGGAAACAAGTAATTTGAAATGCTAAGTTACCTTCAGAACGTCGGCAATTTTAGTCTTGTCCTCATCTCGTGTTAATCGAGCATTCGTCGTGGCTGCCGATTGTGCAATGGCGGCGACACTTCCCGGAGCTATATTCATCCGGCCAGTTGCCCTGGCCTCCGCCACCTGGATTGCGGCGGCATCACTCCATTCCACTGGCTTCTGCCCCACCGCTATGGCGGTTGCTTCCAATGCTTCACCGATCGTGATTCCTCCTCCGCCCTCTTCCAGTGGATTCATGGTCGATAATGGCGCTATAGGAACCCTCTGGCTGTGTTGCGTCACAACCTTTTAATTATTTCCAAACACCCAATTTATTAATAATTAGTGGTAATAATTTAGTATCTTACAAAATTATAATTTATAATATAGCTCTTAAATTTATAAATAGTATTTCAATAATCTTAAAAATTTCAATTTAGATTTAATGAGAAATATATAGCCCAATTAAATTTAATAATAACTCACAACTACCCATTTTTTTAATTTTAGTATTTTTTTCAGTTCAATACGTGAGAAAAATTGTCAAAATTAAGTGATATTAAATTAACAAAAATGTATTCTTGGGATATTTTATAAGTTTTTGTTCCGTTCCGGGCGGGTCGACCACGGGTTCTGTCCCGTGCGCCCGACACTTGAGTAAATTCAGTTTAAGAAAAATTAACCCAACTGAAATCGAACCAATTCGGTTTCAGAAAAATTAACCCAACCGAACCTGAAACCGGACCAATTCGATTTCAGAAAAGATAACCCAACCCAACTTGAAACTGGACCAATACGGTTTCAGAAAAGATAACCCAACTCAACCTGAAACCAGAAAAGATAACCCAACCCAACCCAACCTCAAATGGAACTAATCTCAGTTTCAGAACAAATAATCCAACTCACCCAAAACCGAACCAAGTCAATTTGGTTTTAGAAATAATAACCAAAACCAACCCGATCTAAAACCAAATGTTTCAAAAAAAAAAAAAAACCCCCAAACCAACCTAAAACCGAACCGAGTCAAAAAAAAAAACAAAAAACCCCAAACCAACCTAAAACCGAACCGAGTCAATTTAGTTTCAGAAAAATTAACCGAACTCAACCTGAACTTGAAACCGAACCAAGTCACCAAACTGAGTCAATTCAGTTTCAGAAAAAGTCAATTCAGTTTCAGAAAAATTAACCCAACCCAACTCAAGAATAAGGTTGGTCAAGGTGTCCGGATGGATGTATTACACCCTACCATTTATGTAAAATTTTCAATAATAATAAATAATAATAACAATAATAATAATAATAACCTGTCCACCAACTGACTCTGTAATAACCCTCCTCCCGGGCATCTCCCTCTGGGTAATGCTTACTTCGTCGGCATCAACATTACCACCATCGCCACCGCCGTGATCCAAAAGGCCAGCCATCTCATTTTTGGCAGCAGCAGATTGAATCAGCGCAGCAGCACCGCCCTTGACGGTCTTGCCGAGGAGGGCGGTCTCAGTGGCCTGCAGGGCCGCAGCATCCTCGGGTGTGATCGGCTTCTGAGCAAGGTCACCGTGAACAGGAAAAACGTCGCCGTACTTGATCGGCTCCGGGTGATCACCGGCGGGTCTTCTTGGCTGTTGTTGGCTCATTTTGACGCTCCCAGAAAACACTAAAAATTGGAAGGTTATTTATGGGGCGGTTTATAGAAAAAGGTGGATGAAGGGCTTTCAGTGAATGACACGTGGAATAGAGAGTGCAACGTGGTGGATTATTGAGTGGTTACTATATTTTGTAAGTGCTTTTGTGGCTCTAAATGGTGAACCATCAACTCATGCATAATTTTTAATATATTTTGTGGGTCCCTTGTTCATCTCGATCAAGTCTTACCCAAATCGAATTTCCTTTTGGTACGAGTGCGAGTTTAATCGGTATGTGTTTGGGGTGTTCGAGTTATTTAATCTGTAGTTTTGAATTATATTTTCAATTAATCCGTAGGGTTTTTGCACGAAATCTTGTGGCACGATCTTTGCCAAACACAATGCTCAAGTCACAGTAATACAAATTCTGCATAACTTTCACATTTGGATGGTCTTACGTATAAAAAATGAAATCTTAGTATAGACACTAGAACAATAATTTAAGTCTGAATTCAAAATTTTATCTTAATCCATGCATTGAATGTCTCCTTATCTGTCTTGATGTACTTGAACTCTTTGTTGCAGCTAAATCTGCTACATACTAGTCTAAGCGGCTCAGGAATTTGATTTAACCTTTTTCGTCAAGAATCAAGGTGTTCACGAGGTAAGATGTATGAGTCTTTAATCTCATTTTTTTCATAAATTCATGAGTTTTTGATATGTCGATCTAGATGAGATTCTGACAACTTTTGTGAAGAAACTTAGAGGAGATTCGAGCTAGAAACAGATGATTTGGTGGATTGTCCAAAAACGGTAAGTTTGTAGTATCCGCCTACTTTGGATGTATACATTTCTTCTTGTGGTTAGAAATAAATGACCAGAAAATTATATTTGAAAAGTAAATTTGAGCTAGAAATCGATGATTTGGTGCGATAGGCACGCATGTAAGTTCTGTTTTTTCCCGCTTGACCTTCGTTCAACTATTTTTCGTTAAAGTTTCAATACCGACCTTAAGTTCATTTAAATCAAGACTTACCATTGAACTTTCAGGAAATTTAGAGCTTCCAACAAGTGGAAAATCAAGCTCGAAGAGGCATATTTCATCCCATTAAGTAGTCACATGTGAGCCTTTCATATCTTAGGTAGTTAGAATATGCATGTTTAGGATGAGAATTTAAGTTGCATGCCTATTTTAATACTTTCTCATGTGTTAGAAAGGAGAATGAAATATTATGATTTGTGTTCCGAGTGATTGATGGATGTTATCTTCCCGTTAAACTTAATTGAATGTTGCTTGGTTTGAATTTTGTGCTTAGGTGATTCATATGAATATCTCTCAAATAAGCATGCATGAATATTTTGAATAAGTTTCTCGAGTTAAATTTAAGGGTGCTAGAGCTGGAGCAGTCTTCGAGTTGACCTAGACCAATACACTTCCAGTAGACTGAGCACCATAAAATCATGAGCAGCGATTAGAGGTATAGATATGAGAGCAGCCAGAGGTTGGGTTAGCCTTGAGGTGTTAGTCTCCAACGTCTTGGAAATGAGAGACGAGATTTAGACTCCCTAGATGCCTAAAGAACCTAGTAGACCTCAACGACGAGGATGACTTAAAACTCCTAATAAGCTTATTAGTAGTAAGAAATGTGTAACTAGATCCTCTAAGGTAATTTGAGTTACTATTGTGTGTGAGGGGACGAATCAAAGTTCGACACCATAATTCTGTAAGCTAGTCCTAAAGAAAGATTTGGGACTACATAGGTAGTTACTTTAAGATTAATGTTTCTATGATGTGTAGAAATGGATTAAGGTTAACGTCGCGATTCTGTAATGCATTCTCGAAGAGAGACGGGTAGAATTTAGGGTTAGTACTTCTATTATGAAATAAGACTACTTAAGTGGTTGACTGAAGATGGTTGTTTCACGAACTTCAATACCTACACATAAGCTCACATAGTTGTAGGAATAAACCTAAACTTTCTTGAGCCTAGAGTTGCTCATAGAAATCTACTAGGAAATGAATGCGATGAAAGCCTACGAGTAGGCGCTTTAGTAAGTACTTCTATACTCACCCCTTTTCCATTCCTTTTTTAGGAGAATGTAGGTACTGGTCGAGGTGGGAGAATACTCGAGAGCTACCCTGTCACAGAGAGGTGTTGACCCAGGGTATAAGTGTAGTATGTATTCTTCTTGAGTTGACATTTGTACACTTTTATATGCAGTTTCCGTTCTTTATTTGTAAATAACTTGAACAACACTTATTTTTTTTAATTGTTTTGGATTTTGACAATGTTTTTAATTTGTGCAAAATTATATGGTATTTTCATTGTTTTTGTACTGTTTTATTTTAATTTTTTTCTTTCTTTTAATTGCTTTCATCTTGTCTTTTTAGTCACAGTATGAGAATTGAAGTGTAAAAAATTGGACCAAGTCGACCTAAACATGATCTGAGGGACAACACGTGACCCAAAATCTAGAGGCTAAACACGAAGCGCGCCTAACCCGACCGCAAAAGACCTGCGATTACACGAACTCTCCACATATGATGCTGGTGTGAGAACCCCTAAGGGCATATGGCTAATGCGTGCAGCGTGCACGAGGGCCCTAAAGTTCCCTGTTTGGCCTTCGTTTTTTAGTTTTTGGTCATGATTTCTATACTAACCTTAATTTTTCTTGAATTAGGACATACCAGACAAATTTCAAGAAGTTTGGAGCTCCTAACACAGGGTAAAGTTAGCTCGGGAAGGTACACGTCATCTATGTAAGTAACCACTTGAATTTTGGGCAAGTAATACTTGTAGGGGTCGCTAGGACGTGCTAGCATACAAACATTACTTTACCTTAGGTGGTTAGATAATGCATGTTTATGGTATGTATTAAAGGTACGTTATGGTAAAATTCATAAAAGGCATTTTTTGATGAGTATGTATTGAATGTACGTTATGGTAAAATTACTCTCATGCCCCTATGTTGAGATTTTCGAGGACCATGTTATTTATGTATTATGCAAGGCTGGAAAGAAAATAGGCATGACTATAATATGAGCGGGGTAATATGGGTAAGTGTGTAATGCATGATGTAAGAAATTACAAAAATGCCTCTACGAGGAGATTTGTGATAAAGATGATTTATTGTCTTCTGATGTATTGGGAAGGAGGATGAGCTATTGCATCTGTACTCCGGGTGATTGATGGATTTTATCTCCCTGTTATCTTCTTGAGACCAAGAATGTATCTGACATCTTTTAGTGTCCATATATCCTGCTCGAGTTTTTGTTGGGTTTTATGTCCTAAAACTCATAGTTTGTAAACAAAAACATATTCGGTTTTCAATAAAGTTATTATTGATGTTTATTTAGTAAAGATTGTTATTGAATAAAGTGAATTTTACCATCATTAATCTAAATCCAATAAACTAAGAACACTCTAGTATGATTACTTGAATTATATGTAGAAACATAATAGTGGATCAAGTTCAAGTATATAGACAAAATGATTTATAGTATAGGGATATGGCTGAGTACCTTATTCTGGGGACACTATGGATGCGGCCCACTTTTGTATATGATATAAACAATGTGATCACTAAATTGTACATGTGGAGACATGTGAGTGGGGGTGTCCTACGCAATGAGTATTGCATAAGATCAGACCATGAAGAAAACCACTCTCACTTTATAATGTTGTTTACTGTTGAGACTGATTTTTTCATTCGATGACCTAGGTAACTCGGTCTTAATCCTAAGCTAACTATGAACTCCTATTTATTCGGAATTATCCTTAGATTTTCATGGGTGAGAGTGGCCCGAGTTCACCGACTCAATAAGCCTCTCATTTCAAGGATAAGACTGGGTGAATAGCTGGGGACATAGGGTGTAAGATGGTATTTACTCCTACCCGCTTTTAGGGATAGTAGAGAGGATGTTCCCTTAAGTACTACTAACTCCAGGTCTTGAACAAGGGGCCCACCCTCTCATTGGTCCAAGAGGGATTCGATTTGGTGGTTGGACCAAAACCAAATTATTCATTAGAGGATTAGTGGGACTTAAGGAACAAGAAGTAACTTTAGGGGTAAAATGGTAAATTGACCCAGCTATAGTTACGAACAACCTGTGAAGGATCGACTTACTAACCATGGTTATATCAAATGGATAGAAATATATCTATAGTGAGGGGAGTGCAACTACAAGGCTATAGTGGAGTGTTCTAGTAGTTAACGAATGTTGGTTAACAAGGTTATTGAGTTTAGCTGGTTAATCTCAGATCGTTGGAGCCCTTGATCTGTAGGTCCATTAGGTCCCCCTACTAGCTCATATCGGACTAAACCTTAGAACAGTATGATGAGTGAGTTCGAAGTGTTCGAATTTAAATTAGGGAATATATGCTAAATATATACTATATTTAACCACATTTTGTTTTAATTATGAATTAAACAAAAAGAGAGAATTAGAGATATTTAAATAAAATTTAAATATTTTAATTATGAATAGGGATTCATAATCAATATGTGTCGGAATTGATTGAGATTGACATTTGATTTAATGTTAAATATTAATTAAATTATTTTATCAATCATTTAATATTATTTTGATTTGAAATTAATTATTTAAATTAATTGTTGAATTAAAATGATTAACTTCACTTAATGAAAAAATCCATGTTTGAGTTAGTGGAATAATCCATGTTTGAGTTAGTGGAATTTTGAGTGACAAAATTTGATTTAACCAAACTTGTATGCTTGCCAAATAAATCCCTACAAATTTGAGTGCAATTTTGAGTATCAAAATTTGGTAATCTCAAACTTGCATGCACCACATAATCCCACTGATTTGAGTGAAATTTTGAGTGTCAAAATTTGGTAATCTCAAATTTGCATGAACGTGCAAATATGACTCTATAAATAGAGTGATCAAGGTAAAACTCTTCTCGAAAAACTTTGAGAAAAACTTTGAGAAAATCTCTCAAAACTCTCTCTCTACATATACTAAATTCCTATCAAGGTTTAGTCACTCACCGGAT